ATTGTACAAAGTCCAATCATCCTGCACCGGTACCATCCGTGGGCCCCATCCCGAAGGTGTTGGAGGCGGCCAAGACAGGTACGCAGGCATCCGGGGAATCGTTCCCCCCACCGCACCCGACGTGGGTATGGTAGTCGAAGTGGTCACCGTTGCAGAAGTGACCACGGCTGTGGAGGTTGTAGGGACCGATCCCGTGTCCCCCTCCGTTGTAGGAATAGTTCCCTCTGTCCCGCTCATGACTGCGTCAGACTCGAGACGATAGGAAGGGCGAGTTCTAACAATATGTTGGATCCCCAAGCATCGAGAACAAATCCACGTTTCAAAGAAAGTAAAATTTATTTCAAAGCATTGGAAAGACACTCAAACACGTTCTTTGTTAGAACTGACTACAGAATGGCAGGTCAAGCATAATAAAGGAATTCAAAACAGATATAGAACCAATGGGTCACTTTCCCGCTGGCGGGTTAGAAGAAACGGTTGCGCGCCCATTCCCTGAGAACAAGGTGATCGTTAGACATAACACAGGAGCAGTTCCCAGGCGATACAAGCAACAAGCCGGCAATGAAGCAAACTCCCCCGACACATCCTCCAGTTGTTTGGCTTAGGCATTACAGCAGGGTAACATAACAGCGCAGAGGCCAGGGGAAGGGGGGAACACCTGTACCTAAGTACCAGTAACACAGAACACAATGGCAGCTTGCTGACAATATTACACGATTTATCGACATTACCTCGCAAGGATTCCTCAAACCTAAAAGAGTAATTGAAAGAACACATTCTTCCTCGTTACCATGGTTTGAATATTTACAGTTGAATACTTTATTAAACAACAATATCTGTAAAAAAAACCTAAGATTAAAACTAACAGAATTTGAAAAAATGTTATTTTACAACTCTTTTCCAATTAAAGGCCTTATATCTAAGATTTATAAGCTCTTAATAAACCTTAAAAAACCTGGATTACTAAAATATCAACACGCATGGCATAAGGATTTAGGTCAGACACTAGAGGAAGCACAATGGAGGTATATTTGGAATTCTTTACTGTATACCTCTCCATGTTTTAACATTAAATTAGCAACTATTAAACTAGTGACAAGATGGTATAAAACTCCAGTTCAATTATCGCATTCGCTATCTTCAATCTCACCTAATTGCTGGAAAGGATGCGGCAATAAAGGACACTTCTTTCATATTTGGTGGACCTGCCCAATTATATCAAAATTCTGGTCACAAATAATCAATCTAGTTAACAAAAAAAAAAATTCCTCAATCTCCTACGATTTTTCTTCTAAATTTTTTGGGATAAGTCCCAAATTTCAATTCCTAAACACGAGCAAGAGCTTATAGCCACTTTATTTACAGCTGCTAAGACGTTATTAGCGGCCAAGTGGAAGTCCACTGAAGTTCCTACTTTACTTGAATGGTTATATAAGTCTTGGGATTTTTTCGTTTTTGATAAAATTACAGTGGAACTGGAACATGTCAACTATGAACAACATAAAAAGAAATTTGTTAAAAAATGGTCTCCTTTTGTTGAGTTCTTTTTGAGGCATACAAATTTTACTAAGATAAATATTACTGATAAGTCAATCTTAAGTCGGTTTATTACTGGCTGATCTGTGAAAGACATACTTCTGAACATGTTTTCGAATCCATCTTTGAAATTGAATGTTTACTTTTTGATATTGAGTAATAATTGTTTATAACTTTGTGTAATTAAGGTATGACCGGATTATAGGCACAGTTTATGGTTTTTATTGTTTTGGATGGATTGTATTTACTTCTTGACAATTCCTATGTTTGCTTTTTTAAAAACTCTGTTTATACTTAATAAAAATTTATTAAAATTAAAAAAGAGGGAATTGGATAAACATCTGGAGCAGAGGTCCATTAGGGGCTATTAGCCACAAGGTATAGATAGGAACTCTCGGTCTGGGGCAAGGGATGATCTGTATTCTTGGTGCTTGGGGGAGAAACAGTGGGAGGGCTTCTGGAGTCCTGGCCCCGCTGGTGGAGCTCCTGGCGGACCCTGGTTTTTGGCCACTGTGTGACAGAGTGTTGGACTGGATGGGCCACTGGCCTGATCCAACATTGGCTTCTCTGATGCTCTTATGTGATGCTCTGTCTTCTTGGTGCTTGGGGGAGAAACAGTGGGAGGGCTTCTGGAGTCCTGGCCCCGCTGGTGGAGCTCCTGGCGGACCCTGGTTTTTGGCCACTGTGTGACAGAGTGTTGGACTGGATGGGCCACTGGCCTGATCTTATGTTCTTATGAGAATAGGGCCAGGGCTTTCTCTGTAAATGTGTCTCTCTGCATGGTGTGAAGGTGGCTCTCCTCTTTTGAGCTCTTAAAACACAGATGAAAATGCTCTCTTTTGGGGTTGGAAGATAAGGAATATTCCTTGTGAGTAGCAGTGATCTGGGATTGTCAGGGGGAACTTTGTATTGGCTGCTGTCCATAGGAACCAACCTGGGCTCCTGCTAATGGGAAAATGAGGGCTTGTATGGATGATCGAGGTCTGCATGCCTCCTGTGTATTGGAAATGTGCATGCATACAACAGCATTAATTGTTCAAAAGCATGCCAAATGCAAACTTTGTATCATTGAAAGCTCTGTTATTGTTTTTCTTTTAAGACAAAAGATGTTAATGTATGAGTTGCTTTTTCTAATCTAAAACCTCAGTATTCAGGTTAAATTGCCATGTTGGCACTTTGCGATACATAAGTGGGTTTTGGGTTGCAGTTTGGGCACTCGGGTTCGCCATCACTGCTCTATAGCATATCGAGGAAATTGGAGAAGGCGTTTCAAGGTGGCAGCGGGGCAGCTGCACGAGGTTTCTTTTTATATTGTTATCAAATGAGAGTATGTATGTGTGTGATGTGATGGTGGAGAGATGTTTGGAAAGAGTTCCCAGGATTTGCTTCACATCCTGAGCATTGGTTCTATTCATCCTTCCTCCCCTTCAAAGGTCCAGTAAATGAAATCCCTCAGGACAGGTAGCCTCCCTGCCCAACATCTCTCCCACAATCCCATTAACTTTTTCATCTCAGTTCATGGTTCTGGATCTTCATTTTACAGCAGGTGGTTAGCTAGTGACAGGCTTCCCCTGACTAGTGAGTAGCCAGTATAGACCAGGCTAGTCGGTACTTGTCAGAATTCAGAAGCTAAACAGGGTCAGTCATGCTTAGTATTTGGATGGGAGACCGGCAGGGAAAATGAAGGTTGCTATGCAGAGGAAGGCAATGGCCAACCACCTCTGCTTATGTTTCACCTTGAAAGCATCATGGTGGGTGTTGCCATAAGTCAGGTGTGACCTAAGGGC